GAACGGCATGTTGACACAGAAACAAACATGCAGCTAGGGTCCGTGAAGTTCTTACGGGTAATAATCTTTTCTGGTTGGAACTGTCATTTCCTCGTGATAGGCGTGGGTCATTTGTTGAATGAACACTTGATACTGTGGACGCATAGATAGTACACCAGTAGGAAAAACAACAGCAGAATTTATATTTCCTTGATCCACAGCCAGGGTTTACCTAACAGGTTTCCGAACCATTAAGAATTATCTTCAGTCATCTGGTGTAATTTTGCTGAAAGATCAAGAATGTCTTGTTGGATCTTGTTACAGCAATCTTGATCATGTTGATGGATGACTGAAGTTCCCGGATGTGATTTTCTGCGTTGTGTATTTACATTTTCTTTTGTCTTCCATGACAGTTGGCTCGGCAGTGGGTCTAGTTGTCTTTTAGAGGTTGTGGCTTCATATCAAGTGGTATCTGCACAGAGTAAGAAAGAAAACAAAAGACAACAGAGCAGTATTTGTTGTAAAAGACTGCAAACACTAGGGTTGTATCCTTTGTTCGATCTGAATCTGCTATTGTTGTTCCTTCTTTCCCCATTTCTTAATTCCTGCGACACCTGAAGAACAGTGAGGTAAGGATGGACTAGTGGATGGGGAAGGCCTATGAGGGAGTCTTTACCGCAGGGTTGGCCCCCGAAGCTTATTGCATTCGGTTCTTCCCTGGGCTCCTCACTGGTCCGTGTGTCCTATCCTATCCCTGTAGGTGGGGGAACAACTTTACAGTGTGATACATGAGTCCAGGTTTCCTTCGCTGACACAACACTGCAGCTGCTGCAATCAACATCACTTGATGTTGTCCGTGCCACTTAGGCTCTAACGGCTTGTTTCTGAATGACTTTATCATGTCCCACTGAGCTGGGATGATTGTGTGTCCACCTTCTGGTGGAGTCTGCCAACATGACTCAACTCTCTCTCTGGCACTCTGTACTGCTTTTGTGAGGTTTTCACAGTAAGTGATCAGGGCATCTGAGGCAATGTGTACATCAGCATTTCTAAGATCAATCACACCTGGCATCTGCATTGGGCGTCCAGTAATAATCTCATGAGGGCTCAGTCCTACTGATCTGTTAGGTGACGCTCTCATACTACACAGTACCGCTGGCAGCGCTTCGACCCATGGTACTCCTTCCTGATGCATTTTGCTTAGCCCGGTTTTGATTGTTCTGTTTGCTCATTCAACCTGTCCTGATGCTTGTGGCCTGTATGGGCAGTGAAGATTCCACTTAATCTTCAACATTTTAGACACTTCCTTGACTACCTGTCCTGTGAAGTGTGTACCTTGATCTGAGTCAATGCAATCTGGTACTCCCCATCTGGGAATGAGATCAGTGACAAGACATTTAGCAGTATGTGCAGCTGTAGCATGCCCTGTTGGATAAGCTTCTATCCATCTAGAGAACTTGTCTATTACTACCAAAACGTCAGTTGTTCCCCTTACAAGGAGGCAACGATATGTAATCAATTTGCAGGTGACGAAATTGTCCTGGTGGAGCTGGGGTATGTGTTGCAGCTGTAGCTGCTCCTGGCACATCATTATTTTTCTGACATGTAACGCATCTCTTGACTGAGAACTTGTCTATTACTACCAAAATGTCAGTTTTTCCCTTACAAGGAGGCAACGATATGTAATCAACTTGCAGGTGACGAAATGGTCCTGGTGGAGCTGGGGTATGTGTTGCTGCTGTAGCTGCTGCTGGCACATCATTATTTTTCTGACATGTAACACATCTCTTGACTGTTTCGGTGGCTACATTTCTGAATTTTGGATTCCACCATTGATTTGAGAACCTGTGATTCATCGTTGCTGGACCACTGTGACCCAAATTGTGTATTTGTTGAGCCAAATATGGCAGCAGTGATTCGGAAGCGACATACTTTCCCGCTTTGGTCCAGCAGCCGGATGAATCCACTGTGGCTCCTTTGTCTAACCATGTACATGCTTCATATTGAGGAACGTCTTTGTACAGATCAATGATTGATTCAGGAGGCAGAATTGTCTTCTGTGCTGTCTATTCACTGTATTCACTGTCCTCTATGTACAATCTAATGGTAAGCCATTACAAATTGTAGATGGATCTGCTACTAGGGGGGTGATTTTATCAATATGTTTATTGGCTACTCTGTAGTCTATGGTGAGTCTCCATGTCCCATTGGATTTCTTGATGGGCCATATGGGTGAGTTACAGGGACTGTTGGTTTTAACTAGCACTCCTTGCTTCAGCAATTTTTCTACAATAGGTTTGATTCCCTGTATAGCTTCCTTATTGATCGGATATTGTTTGGTAACAGGAGGTGGAGTTCCCGTCAATTTGACTGGTTTTACGCCTGTCAAAAACCCGCAATCATCCTTGTCTTTAGCTTAAATTGGATGATTCTGTAAGAAAGCATACTCAGGAGTGGTTGCATTATCGGTAGAAACTTGTGCTGAGGAAATTTTATGCTAGCAGATTCTGAGGACATGTCTAAAAATCGATGTACTTGTCTCAGTAGATCCATGCCTAGAATTGCACCTGTATTTAATGGAGCACATAGCAATTTTGTAGTCAGAGTTTTCGGGCCTAATTGTACTACAGGCACATCAGTTACTGATTGGATGGCTACATCTGTTTCAAAGAAAGCTTGTAAGTCAGGATAATTGTTATCAGGCTGACTAACTTCTTCCACATCAGTTTTTGCTGCAGCTTTGTTGCAGGTCAATTTCTTAGTCAAAGAGGATACTCTAGCACTGAGCTTCTTCCTACACTATTTCTCCCAATGTCCTAATTTTCCACAGTAGTTGCATTTGCCTTCTCTCTTAGCCCATCTATTGTCTTGATTCATTGTGCTAAACGTAGCTGCTGCTACTCTCATGGGGATCAGTCTAGCATTCTTTCTAAACATTTTGTGAGTTTCTTTGTTACCACACAATCAAAACACTAAAACTTCTCTGATCAACAGAGGGTACACTTGTTAACACAGATCAACTACTGTTAACTTTCCTTGGCAAAGCAGAAGGATAACACAAATTACTAGCACTTTACGCTAAGCTTCCCTGCCGAAACAGAGGGTAACCAATTCTTCTCTGCCGAAACAGACGGTAACAAATATTAACACGAAATTAGGTTCATTTGCACTCCTAACAGTGATTTGAATTCGCTATCTGACCACAAAGGAGTCGCAAGACCACCTTTTTCAGTTGTGGGGATCAGTCTAGCATTCTTTCTAAACATTTTGTGAGTTTCTTTGTTACCACACAATCAAAACACTAAAACTTCTCTGATCAACAGAGGGTACACTTGTTAACACAGATCAACTATTGTTAACCTTCCTTGGCAAAGCAGAGGATAACACAAATTACTAGCACTTTACGTTAAACTTCCCTGCCGAAACAGAGGGTAACAAATATTAACACGTAATGTTAATCTTCCCTGCCTGAACAGAGGATAACCAATTCTTCCCTGCCGAAACAGAGGATAACAAATATTAGCACGTGATGCTAGTCTTCCCTGCCTGAACAGAGGATAACCAATTCTTCCCTGCCGAAACAGAGGATAACAAATATTAGCACGTGATGCTAGTCTTCCCTGCCTGAACAGAGGATAACCAATTCTTCCCTGCCGAAACAGAGGATAACAAATATTAGCACGTGATGCTAGTCTTCCCTGCCTGAACAGAGGATAACCAATATTAGCACGTAATGCTAATCTTCCCTGCCTGAACAGAGGATAACCAATATTAGCACGTAATGCTAATCTTCCCTGCCTGGAGAGAGGGTAACCAATTCTTCCCTGCCGAAACAGAGGATAACAAATATTAGCACGTGATGCTAATCTTCCCTGCCTGAACAGAGGATAACCAATATTAGCACGTAATGCTTATCTTCCCTGCCTGAACAGAGGATAACCTTCATCTCTAAAATAAAATTTTTTTAGAGGATAACTTAGTTAACCAAACCCTACAGCTGTCTGTTAACTCTTCTCTGACGGCGCAGAGGATAACACATTTGTACTGGTCTTAAAGGTTCTTTTGGATAGAGTGGCACTCACCAACCCTTGGTTGTACAGAAAGATTCAGTCTGGAACGAAGTCAGATCTTTGTTGAGCTTGAAGTTTCAATCTGGATTCAGGCGAGGAGCTCTATCCGGGTGACGGCACCAAAACTGTAGGAAACTTTTTCCTTGTCGAAGCAGAGACCAGGAGACTTTGGGGTATCTTTCATACAGAAGTTACTCTTTATTGAGGACTCGCTGTGCGTCGATGCAGTCATCCAAGCCTGACTAGAGCTCAGCACAGTAGAGTTTATACCTTTCAACGGGGAGGGATACATAGAGGTGGAGACAATCTAAACAAAGCATGCAAATGCAGTACAGGAATCAGCCAGTTACCGGAATTTCTCCAGCCCTGCTCTCATCAGCATAACAGTGTCATTCAAATGCATAGGTGCTAATCCAATCAGCCTGACAGTATCGCCCATACCTTCACATTATCATAGAGACAAAGGCACAGCTGTGCCTTGAGCTTAGCATTCACCTTTAACTTGGGACCCTGCCCAATGGTCAGGAAGTGCATAAAGACAAAAGGTTAATGTCTCAGACACCTGGGCTGCCTGACTTGATCTTCTTAGAATGTCATCATCTTTACCTCAAAATGTAAAACACAATGTACATAACTTTTTCAGTTTATATACTATCACACTGGAACCTAGATATAACATTTTATAAATTTGTAATCCAACACATGCAAGACAAACTCAGGTTGACAGTGCTGTGAAGGTTTTATTTCCCCCTTTCAATGGAACAGCAAAGTCACAAAGAGTCCTACAGATAACTCACCACTTTACGAGGGCAATTCTGCTCCTCCTGCCCACTTGCCGTAGAGCCATGACCAGACCGTGTGTAGCTGAAAGGTTGTTGTCCATACTCTGCTCCACGGGAACGCTCCTGTTCCTTCTCTGTGTAGGCCGGTAATGATTCATTATCCTCTGCCATCCGGTCACGAGGTGACTGGTTGCATGGAGACCTGCTGTGGAAGGTGTGTCTGAGTCCTCTTCATTATGTCCTACTTTTGAAGAACTGCTTTTGACTGCTTTAGCTTTATGTTCTAATAAACTGTTGAGAAAGGCATCACTGTAGTCCTGCCTGCTCCCTGTACCACTGAAATCTCTTCTGCTCTGATCCCGCTTTTGTGTATCCCTTTGGGGTTGACCATTGCCCCACGGGTCCCGCCTTTTTCCAGGTAAGGGCGGAGGGCTGGGTGGACATCTCATTGGACTGGCCTTCGGAGAGTAACATTTTGAACAATAAAATGGGTAACAATCCCGTTCCAGCTCCCGGTCTATCTCCCTCTTGCGCTCCTTTTCCCATTCATGTGCTCTATAGTCGCCATCCCTGTTTCCAAAATAACTGTGATGTCCTTGTTGCATATATGCCATTGCAAACTCAATGTACGAACTCCTCAAGCTCATCCAAAGATCCTGTCCGTCCACGTTCCTCTGCAAGTGCTCTGAGTGAGGGTTCCACCTGAAACGGAAATTATCAATACTATTAAACTGCTCATTGTGTAGTAATACAAGTGCTTTACTACATCTCAGCCTTCTGTTATCTGGGGTTTTCATCTGCTACATGATTTTTATGCTGGGGTTGTCGTGTGTATTGTATCCTGCCTCATGAATGGGAGATAAATCTGTGGTCCGGAGGTCATCAAGATCAGGAATGGTAGGCAAAGCCTTTTTCTGGACTTGTCGATAGGTTTGACGGATCTCAGTTTCTGCATCATGTAAGGAACTCAGCTCGGATATACTGCAGGCTGCAAATGAACAGAAATCAGCACAAACATCTCTGATGGCTTACTTGGAGAGTTTGGACAAACTCTTTTTGTAAATTCTTACCATCACAGTTTTTTGACATTAGAACCTAGGTCTTCAACCCTGCTTTTTGGGCCTGTGATATTTCAAGTGATCAGTAAGACCTAGATTAACTGCTTCAGGTGTGATTTCTTTAGATAAACTAGGGTTTTAGATAAACTCTTCAGGACAGTGGGTCCCCCAGGAGCAGGGTTGAAGACCTATGCATTAGAATGTTTAACCTTAATTGCTCTGCTCTCGTTCTTTCATGTCTTGTCATCATGCATTTAGAAGAATTTAGAGCACTACATGAAAATCCCGAAAAATATGAAGAAAGTGAAGTATAAAGTGCCTAAGAGACCACAGAGGAACGTGAAAAAGAGGAGTCAAGTATGCAGCTCTTACACAGGAAAATAGAGAAGCTGATACGGAAGGAGTGGATTGTGCAGTGAATTGTGCAGGGGTCATGTGCAGTGGGATCATGCACTGGTGAAGTGCAGTGGGAATGCTGAGTGGGATATCTGCAGTGGGTCGTGTGCAGTAGATTGTGAAGTAGTCAAGTGCAGTAGGAATGTTGAGTGGGACATCTGCAGTTGATTGTGCAGTTGGTCATGTCCAGTGGAATCGTGCAGTGGGAATGTTGAGAGGATCATGCAGTGGTCAAGCTTCTGGAATGGCGTTTGAGTCTTACAGTTTTGGCTGCCGCTAAGAGTCTGTGACAGGTTGAACTGAGCGAGCTGCTTCTCCACGTACTGCAGCACTTTCAGAGAACTCTCATCTGACACAGGCTGCAGATGGAAACCACTCCACACTACAGGAGATACTCCATGTGTGTGTGTTGTAAGAATATTGTTTTTGGACATTTAGGCCATTTTAAAATAGTTCTGTACTCAGATTTATTTCACATTAAAATCCACACAGGATGGAGCATTTCAGTGTGAATGCCTCCAATGGATTTCATATCATAAATACTGTTTGAGGCTGCTATCATGAAAATAAATACTATGAATCAGTAAACAAACTCTGAAGTGAGGACAGTGCACAACAACACTGCTTACAATACACAGTCATTAAGTGACATACGTATACTGTATTTTTTTTGACTAATACACATTAGTGATCGTTGAGACATTAGACACAGTCAAATCACTGGGGTTCTTGAAGAAGCCTGATCTTTGTGAAGGAATATGTTGGCTAATATTTGATGTTAAATCATAATATTATTTCAGGGGTTCACATGTTAATATAATCCTTGAACAGAGGTGAAAGTGAGCATATTTGGTTTGCAGTCCATAATAGAGGGCTTGAGTTCATGATTCAATGTGAGCTCTAAGAACTCTGTAGATTTACACAAATGAGCAGGAATGCTATACTTAAATGGATGAACACTTGGCCTGTATATATTTAATATGACACACTGTGGCACATTTGTGCCCAAGTGCAACCTCTATTTTTGTAATCACAATATAAACTATCTAAACAACATGCATGAGTCTGTCTGTAGATGTTTCACATTCACTGTAAATGTTTGAACTCATTTTAAGTTCTTACAAATTACTGGGGTGCCAGTAAATCATGTTGTGGTTTTCGAGCATCTAACACTGTTGCAACAGGTTGGCAGCTCAGTAATCACCAGTAAACAGGTTTACTCCAGTTTCACTACAGTACACTCACCTGAGCCACTGTTTTCCAGTGATGGTGCAATGGACAGGTTCGGGTCAATGAGGGAAGGCGGAGCAATAGGCACCATGGTGGGCATCTCAGGTATGTAGTATGGAGGAAACATGGGCACTGGTGTGGCAGGTGTTGTCTTGATCACCTTTCCTGCTTCATATACTATTTAAGAGAGATACAGTCAGAATAGTCATGTTGGTGGAATGATGGCATGTGTTTGCAGGACTCAT